ATAGAGAGTCATCTGATGGAAATACGTAATATACACGTATGAACATATCAATAAACAAAAAAGAATAAAGTGTCTTAAAACTATTATAAAGAAGTCATTAATCTCTGTTATTCCAAAATATTTTACTGAAGTTAATTCATATATCAAATTTGTATACATTTTGTAATATATTGTATGTCTAAAAATCTGTCTTAATAATGGTAGGTCTACAAAAACTGGTAAATGTAGCTTTGGAGAAATAATACATAAATGGCTTGCAATTTTAACTAGTAAAGTAATTTTGAAAGCTGGAAAAGCTATTACTAGTTTAGTAATTTATGTTAATGATGAAGCTCTAAATGACTTTTCATCACAGGAAACCAGAATTCCATCAAAAACATTTTCATTATAAATAAATGTCTTTCATATAGAAGTGTATGAAGGAGAGAAGAGGAAGAGGAGAAGAGAAGGACATGAAACTCAGTGGGGGAGGACTATAAACAACTAGCAAATCTCAGTCAAAAGTCTATGGATATTTTGGGGCACTATTTTTACAATTTTCCTTTTAAGTTTGGTAAAAGTATCAAAAGTAGAAACAAAAAATTAAGCTATCTCCTAAAAACATTAAACTATAATAGCTGAATATACTGCATAAAATTGCACTTGGCTCTATTTAGTCCATGACAGTATCAAATTAAAAGCTATTCACTTTCCTTCAGCAAAAAATAAATAAATAAATCATCTAAAAACTAAGACCATTTCATATTCAGTGGGCAGAATCACACAATGAAGTATGTTTGATTCAGAAGCCAGCAGGCAGCACACACTTCCTGAGTGACAGTATTTGCTGGCACTCCTCACTGCTACAACCCTAGTTTACTCCTGTCAGTTTGGGAAGGAAACAACATTCTTAACAAGAGCAGGAGCACATCCTACTTTCTCCCACCCCACCCCACCACAAAATGCCAGGAGTTCCCCTGTTAACTGCCATCTACAAAGTCCCTAAAATCTACAAACACGGAAGGAACCAGCATAGGACCAAGCTAGACCCTCTGAATGTGGGTGACAGTTGTATGGCTGGGGCAGATGGCAGGGCCACTGGCAGTGGCACCAGGATTTATCTCTAATGCTTGTACTGGCTTTTTGGAACCCATTCTCTTTGAATGGCTACCTTGCTCAGCCTGGATATAGTGGGGGAGGACCTTGGTCCTTCCTAGGAGCAATGTGCCTTACCTTCTCTGAAGAGTGAAATGTTGTTGGGGGGAGGGGGGGTGGAGAAGGAGGGAATGAGAGGAAGGGAGGAAGTGGGAACTGGGATTGCTATGTAAAATGAAAAAAGATAGTTTGTCTTCTTTTGTAAAAGAATAAAAAATAGAAAGAATCACTGCAGCAACACTGAAGATGTTGGCTCAGTGATAGGACAGATACAGCAGTATTTAAAATACAATTCAACTTAAATTTTCTTTTAACTTCTAGCCTACATCTAAGGTATGCAGTTACTCTATTTCTAGGTAGACTATTGTTCTAGACAGAATCGTTAACCAATATTTATGGAAAGCATCTACTACTGCCTATTTTTCCATGCCCAGACTAGCAGAATCCATGGGCTATCACTGAGGGACTAAGTGATCTCAATTTAGAACACACATTAAGGCAAACTGTTCCCCTCTACTAGTGTAATACACTACACCAAATATCAGGCCCATTTCTTTTCCTCAGCTGAATTAGAGATGGTTCCTATGCAAAAGTGACCTTAAAAAAAGAACGCATTCCATTATATAGGCCAAAGGACAGGATCAAAATATCAACATGAAACTCGCACTCCTGAAGAGAACTGACATCCAAACAACTTACAAAACATATGTCATTAATTTCAAAGTAAACCTTTCCTGACAAAAGTGAAATAAAATACAGTAGAGATTAAAATTTAAAAATAAAGAAAACAGGATTTTAACATGAAGCTTTGAAAACAATTAAGTATAACTTAAATGCTTTTATTTTTGTGCTTTTTTTATTTGTTTTAAACATACCCATCAAAATAATCACTAAATTCTGCCATGCATGGGAGTTTCTTTGCTACAATATCTATTAATAATCTAAGATACCCACTTCCCTTACTTCATCTTTGGCTTTACACGATAAAATAAACAAACTGAATAAATTGCAACCCACTCTGATTCAAAGAAAGTTTGAAAAAAAACAAAGTTTAAGAACAAGTTAGTAAAAGCAAACACTGCTTAGGTAACCACCTTTTTAAACTTACAATAAAAGCATGTATTTTTCTGAGAGTTTCTCCAGGAGGAAATCTTTAAGTCACTCCCATAACTGAAATCCTGAACACCATGAGCCCACTACAAAGGACCAGGACTTCCTCTCCTCCAGACTTCTTCTCAATGTCCCTTCCCATTTATCTCTATGCGAGAATATTCGACCACTCAGCGGACCTCTGTGGAGTCAACCTTACTTGTTCACACCATTCCATCTATCAAAAGCATTCTCCTCTGCTACCTTCTCTCTATACAGAGAAGGTATGCCTTAGAAGAACACCTCAAGTTTCCTCTAAAAAAATACTAATACACAGAAGTGCTGCCAGAAACTACAGGCACAAATGTCTGCAATATTTATTTAGTATTTAAATGCCAAAAACAGTGTGTTTGCCCTCAAAGAGCAAATGGATCAGAGAAAGCAAGCAACAAGCAGATGAACCTTAAAGTTCACTGAACATGCTACAAGTGCAACAGGCCCACCTGGCAAGTGAAGGGGAGGGACACTCCGAACTAAGGTGGAAGCACAGGCTGACTTTTAGACTAACCTCAACTGTGAAATATGGAGTCTAGTTTTATGCTAACACTAACAGTGAAACCCCAGTAACATTTTTCATTCTTTGGGGCTCTGCTCCTCACAAAAGACACATAGAAACAAATATTTTAATAAATTAAATAGGACAAAACACTAAAATGACACAGCTGTGCAACATCTATATGGCCCAAAAATTCCATGAGAAAAGTGAAGCGCGGCCCCAGGGCAGGAAAGGCAGCAGGAAGCTGAATCTTGGGGGAGCTATAAATACAAGCAGGCTCAGCACCCAGGCTCTTCACTTCACCCTGAACCAGTGTGCCCTCTTCCTCACTGTAAAATGCACAGAAAGGAGTCTGCCCACTGGGTTGAAGGTACAGCCTAGCAGAAGATGCTGACCTAATGCCAGCTGACTCAGGGAATGAGTCTGTGATGTCTCTAATGTCACCATAGGACTGGGGCTCTGGTCCACTAACACAGACCCAATTCTTATCTGTGAATTCTAAAGCCAGGCAGAGACAATGACATATCTGCTAGACAGCAGGGACATCAAAAGAAAACATAAAGTCCATTAGAGTGTTTTTGCTAAGTTATAGAGAATGATGAACAATCCTAAACTCACTGCAGAAAAACTTCAAAAAGTATTAAATGATTAGAAAAGGACTTCAAATTAAGCTCTAAGAGTTCTTTAGAGCTATAAGGGCATGTGTTCCAAAAAAAAAAAAACTATAGAATAAGCAAAAATGAGAAAAATCTAGTAGACATTTAAAAAGAGAACCAATTTTAAATAAAACACTAACCATTGAAATGTTAAAACAAAACATGTTACAATACCACCAATTCCACCTCCACCTTCAACCTCACAAAGATCTGACTTCTGCATGAACAAGACACTGAGATCAGAAAATTAAAATACAAGTTACCTGTCCTCAGAAACTCAGGTAACATCAACGCTAATAGAACTCTAAAACTATAAATAAAAGTTTAGTTCATTTTCAAAAGGTTTTTAAGTTAAAAAAAATCTTGCAGCTTCTATCTTAATTTTCCTGAACTCATGACTATCTTCACTGGAGCTGGATTTCTATGAGATAACCTCATACAAAAGTTCATGAATGGAACTGAATTAGCACACACAGACTCTTCCCAAGCCGGACCTGAATGCCTCTAGCAACTGATCCTGGTTATTCAAAGGACCCCAAATAGTACAAGTTTTAAAAGTCAAAGGTGACTTTCTGCAATTACCTTTAGTTGAAAGAGTTAAATATTTCTATAACTATAAAAATTAACTAAAAAACATAAGAAAAGCTGTCTTAATTCATATAAGGTAAACACAACCAATATAAATAATACACAAAAAAGTGTAAGCTAATATTCTAATAAGGAAATGCTCACACTATCCCAGAGTTTCCATAATCAGAAAGTCTGTACTTCCAACAGCTGTTTAAGACCCCAGTTAGAATAAAACCCCAGTTCTTCCATCCTACTCTAAAAATAAGCAGCTAACAGCAATGAAATCCAGTTCTTCAGAAAAAAGACATATACTTTCCCCTTAAAACTGAGAAGATAATTTTTTTTCAAATCTTCTAAGTTCAAGATAACCTTGTTTTCTTGATCCATTAAAAGTATGATAGGTTTCTGTAGTTTTACATAAACATATTAACCCATGTTGCCCAAGGATGAAATTTTACACAACAAAACCTCTCTTAATTATCGTCAGCTTCAATATTCCCTCTTTTACTTTTAGAATTATTTCCCAGTAGAAAACAGAAAGTCAAGAGCTCTTAAATGAGAGAATCAGTCAGCTAATAAGCTAGTGCTAGACTCCCTCATCACATCTGAGCTCTTAGCGTAAACCAAACATATAAAGGTGTCTCTCACTGCGTTAAGATAGAGAAGTCACGGATGGAGGTGGGTGGTCCTTGGACTTCCCACAGGGCAGGGAACCCTGATTGCTCTTTGGGCTGATGAGGGAGGGGGACTTGGTGAGGGAGGGGGAGGGAAATGGGAGGCGGTGGCGGAAAGAAAGCAGAAATCTTTAATAAATAAATAAATATAATAAAATAAAATACAAAAAAAAAGAGAGAGAGAGAGAGAAGTCACAGCACTGGAGAGAACCAAATTATTCTCCCAGGAAGTGACATAATAGTAACATGTTTCTTCTTTTGTTAAATAAACACTACAAATGCTCCCAAGGCAGCAGAAATTAAACCAAGCAGGACACTTACTCATGACTGGAAAAGTCTCTGTGTGTTGTCCCAATCCAGTATTAAACCAAAGTCTATGGTCCAGGGTTTCTCAGAGGAATACATATCCTGTTCTGGAAACAGAAGAGAAAGAAATCAGATTTTTCTAAAGGTCAATGTTTAAAGTTTGCTAAAAGGAAATAAAAATAACTTTAGTTCAGTTTTTTCTACTATCTATAGAACCCCTAGTCATTCTCTTTTAAATATAAAAGATTACTAGTAATTATCATCTAATTCACAGGTCCCAACCTAAAACAAGTTAACTTCAAGAATTAAAAAATATATAGATGGCAACTGCCATACAGGAGCTTAGTGTGCAGAAGACAATTGCCAGATGTTGTCTACTATGTAGAAGGCAACTGTCATTAAAAAAACAAAAACCAAAAACACCACCTTGGTATCTTCAGCTTCAGTCTTCAGTACTGAAGTTATTCCTTCCCTATTCCCAACTAATAAAGTCAAGAAAAAGAAGAGTGCTCTGTCTAGGGCAAACAAGCATATCATGCCTGCTAAGTTTCTCTGGTTACATACAAAGTTTTATATAAGCCTCAAATAATGACTACAGAAGTTATTGCTATGAACTTTCTCTAATGATAGCAATTTCCTCATTATAAACATAATATGAGTTCACATTTATTTAGCTATGTGCCGCAAATATCCTTTGGCATTTTTTCTAAGTATTTTAAAAATATATTTGGTAAATAAATTGAAATTTTTAGACTTAGTTCTTTTCACTCAATTGTAATATAAAGCATTGCTTTGAATTAGTATGGGTATCAATACTAAAACACACTTGACCCTTGACTAAGATTTGCATTATAAAATCTTCCTAAATTGATTAACACATTTTTAGATGAGGCATAAGTACTAGTGGTATATTTACATGAAATCACAGTTGCATAATGCCTTCTAGATCTAATGCATAATTGTACAGCTCTGCAATTCAATACAAAATGCACACTTGCATAACTTCCTTCACAAACCAGTAAACTACTTCGTGCAATCATGAAAAATGACACTTTATTTTCTAAATCACTCAAGAAAACCACAAAACAATAACCCCCTCGGCTATGAACCAAGTTAGGGTAACACTTTTAAAGATTCAGTTTGGTGTATCCATCTACTATACTCCGATTATGTAAGATTCATAAACAGCACACATTTACACAATGCAGAAACTGCATCAGCATGTACATGCACCACATGCTGCCTACACTGTAGTTAGCAGTAATATATAATAATAGTTCTGTCATCCTGTCACCTGACCCCAACCCACAGGCCTTCTTCTTCATCTGTGCATTTACCAGTGATCACCATTTCCAGACAACCCAATTATCCCAAGGAAATGAGTAGCATGGTAAATCTACAATCAATATTTCCCATGTTATCTCAGGTACATGTTCAAAGTTTCTCATACTAAATACATCTCTTAATGGTACTGCATTAAGTTTATTGGCTTTGATGTCCCTCCTTGGAAACTAAGAGGTAAGATGCTGAATGAGAACAGGGAAAGGCGATGTCACAAAAACACCAAGTAGATATTAACATTTACAGAGGTCAAAGGGGTCCACATGCATTCATACTTGAAGCAGCTACTCTTTACCTGGGGTCTTATGTCTATATACATTTTTAATGTTAAGTTTTCTAAATGGTAGTATCAAAGTACCCTATAGGATGTAATGCTCTCTCCCTGTCATACCATAAGAAGCCGAATAAAGCCTTAATTCTAGTGTTTAAGACATAAAGAATTTTCTTAGCACTAAAAATATTATCTTCAAAAACATTAGGATAGGAGCTTAGCAGTTAAGAAAAATTACTGCTCTTCCAGAGGAACCAAGTTCTGTTATCATGACTCACATCAGGTGGCTCACATCTGTACGTAACTCCAGCTCCAAGGGATATGCAACACTGCAATGTCTGTGTCTGGACTTCTCAGCCACCTGCACTCACGCTGCACATACCCACACCCAAACATAAGCACCCACACATAATTAAAACAAATATCATTTTTTAAGTCAGGATAATAAAACTTACAAACACTGGATATACAACCACACAAGGTAACAAATGCACACAAGCCTTACAGTGTACAAACATGCAAAGCATGTATCAGAATTTAATGTACAGACCCATGGAGCAACACTTAGAACTGTGCATATGAAGAACACAGTGAGGTCACCTCATCAAGGTTCTTTATACTAATCACAGCTTCAAAACAGAGATCTGCTCCCCAGCCCGCAGCTCCCAGCCCCACCTACTTTCAAAATAGGTAGTCAATTAATTTTTAGAGGCACTTGGTTGCTCCTTTCACCTCGCCTAGTTACCCTTCCCTAAAGAAGAGTAATGTCTCAAAATACACAACTTCACATACTAAGTATTTTGTAGTATTTCTGCAAAATCAGCATTTATCTTACTTTTCATGTATTGGCTTTGGGAAGTGTGGCAATATGTCTTCCTGGAAAGGAGCAGAACTGACTAAACCTAACTGGAAGCTATGTTTCCTTGGAAGGCATAGCAGCATGAGAAACATATACCCAAGAAGGCTGCTGGCCCCAAAATGACACATAACTGAAGACAATTCACAGCTTACAACCAAACCCAGCCAAACTCAGTCAAGGCTGCGGATCTATTGCTGCCTGCTGTCAGCCACTGAAATTTTGTGGTAATTACATTATTACAGCCAAAGATGACTAAGCCAGAGAAAAAAGACACTAACTTCTGAGGCAAGAGAGACAGCTCAGCACCATAGAATAAGTACGGCTTCTGCAGAAGACTGAAGTTTGATTCCCAGAACCCACTTCAGGTTGTTCACAACCTCCTCTAACTCCAGATCCAAGGGGATCCAACACCTCTGTCCTCTGTGGGTCCTGGCATTAACATGTATACATATATGCGCACACACACACAGATTCACATACATACACATAAGTAAAAATAAAATAAATCTTAAGACATTAACTTTAAAAACAATTTAACTAAAATGGGCAGTGGTGACGCATGCCTTTAATTCTGGCACCTAGTGACAGCGGCAGGCAGGTCTCTGAATTCAAGGCCAGCCTGCTCTACAGAGCAGGTTCTGGGATAGCCAGAGCTGCACAAAGAAACCCTAACTTGGGAGGCTTGGGGTGGAGCAGGAGGCAGGTGATGACAACAACAACAAAGAAACACTGAAGTTTCAAGTTAAAAATATTGTATTCAAAAATCTAGGCACATATCATAGGAAACAAATCTAAATACGTAAACCACATAGAGGTTGGAAATTAAGGCATCAAAAATGTAGAACTGGCAAATAGTGACTAAAGTAGAGAGATGTGGTTACAATAACTATGCCATGTTTGTGCTAGGATGTAACCAGAAATGATCGTGGGGCTGGGGCAAAGCTCAGCAGCAGAACACTTGCCTGCAATATACAATCCCCATCATCGTAGCAGAAAAAGGAAAAAAGAGAAATTTCATAACAATTTTGTCTGACTGTAAGAGAGAGAGAAAGGGAAGGGGAATTTATCACAATACTACTTGTAATAGCAAAAGAAACAAAATATAAAATTTCTACAGAAAAATTAGTTACATCATCTGTTTATCACTTAGCATCATAAAGCAGTGAAATTAACTATTTGTTGAAGTCATTTCTCTCCCCCCACACAAAATGTTTAAGAAAATTTCCTTCATCATAGTGTTAATTATAATATCACAAAATTATAAACTTAAATGTCCAATAATAAATAACTGACTGGATTATTATTAATAACCCATTATTAAGCCTGTCTAATAGTAATTAAAACTGTCCAGCAACTTAAGGACAAGAAATGAACTAACACAGTAATGGCCTTTACACACCTTCATCCCAGAATCATCAAGAAAGGAATCAGAAATTGAGTCATCCAACTCAACTGTATCTCCTCAAAGGCTCATAAGCCAAGACTTGTGACTACTATTCAGTGTTTAAATCTAAAACAGATGATAAAAGCTGGCAGGTGGCATATACCTTTAACCTAGCACTCAAGAGGCAGAGACAGGAAGCTCTCTATGAATTTGAGGTCAGCCTATTCTACAGAGCAAGTTTCAGGTCAGTCAAGGATACAAAAGACACTGTCTCAAAATATTATTATTATTATTATTAATACAATTTTTTTAAATTTAAAAATCAGACAACATATAAACTAGTTAGGCACTCGAAAAACCCTCCCAAAGCAACTCCCAAAAGCCAGACAGTATTCTAGGCTCAGCCAACAAAACTATGAACAAAACACTACCCCTTGCAAAGCTTACATTATAATAATTCTAGTACCTTCCTTTCTTAATTCAGTCACAGTTCATTAGTTCTACTATGTATTGGCCAGGGCAGATTCCTAGGTAACGTCTTCTTATTCTAGATGAAGAAATAACTCCAGTTAATACTACAGTCATTATTCATTGAGACCTATCTCACCCTTGTGGTTACATAATTCTTGAACTTTATGAACAATACTCTAGAGTAACATATACCTATAAAACACACAATACTAAATTTCCACAGCCTGTAATCTTTTCCCAGCATGAGAAAAGTCCAGTAAATCTGTCACTGCTACAGTGAAAAGAGAATTGTTTATTCTGCTCACTAAGTCAACAAAATGTTTCCCACTAATGAGATCAAAGAATGAGTTGGGCAAGAATAAAACGGTTGGTTCTCATTTTGTTTACACGTGTATGTTAATGATGCATAAGATAAGGATAAGGTCAAATTTCCTTTCCTCGGGTAGAATTTAAGTTAGGTTTCCAGGAGGGCTTATCAAATTCTAGTGACTTTGTTTACACTGGTCAACAGGCATTTCAGAAAGCAAGTGTCATTTCTAAATCTTATTTCTAACAGGTACAGAGAGGTAGGGGCTTTCAAGGGCAGCTAATAATGTTATATTTGCCATAAGCCCTTGATATGCCTATCATATCAGAACTGTACATAGTGGCTACGCTCCACAAATGAAAGCTAAAATGAAGAACACAGTATCTTTTCTTTTCAGAAGCCTGACAGCATTCAAAATGTCCATTAAAACTGCAGGTTGCCGTATAGTTAGCACTAAAGCAGACACCATGATGG